CATCCGTACCCAAAATAATGAAAGGGTTTGCCGTTTCCTTAAGCCCATGTTGTCGGTATTCGCCTCGCACCTGCCCTGGGTTGTTCCCAAAGCTTTTTTGGCGTAGGGGTTTTAAATGGTTTTAGAATGTTCGGGGGTTAGAAGCGCACAGCTGATCGTAAACGCTCAGGCCTGAGCCCCAAGCCCCAAGCCCTAAGCCCCAAGCCCTAAGCCCTAAGCTCTAAGCCCTACCCTGTCGACACGTCAATCGAAACCACTTCTCCGCCGTATTCTGGCAGCTGATGGGGGAGTTCTTCACAATTTGGATTCTCTGAGGGTTCAGGGGTTTAGGTCCTGTTCACAGTATATATTCCCATAAGATACACAATACAGGAAGCCCGTTTTAGACACAACCCCCACGAGCATCGTGGACGTTCTGGTGCGCCCGCCTTGCTACTGTACAGGCAGCCGGGCCCATCTGCTTGATGTTTGACCAATGAGGACCGAGGTGGAAGAGAAACATACCAAGTCCAGAGAGCTGTACAATGCACAAACACCTTTAAAGGTTGTGCTACGAGGATTCTCCATAGAGTGTGTGTGTGTGTGCTCCCGCTGCCTCACTTAAAGCAGGCGCTCCACTTGCAAGGACAAAGAAGACAGAGCCCCATTCTTGCCCTGGATATTCATGTCCGCCCCAGCCTTGACCAGCAAGCGAGCTACTTCCGAGCAATCGACTTTTGCGGCGTGGTGAAGAGCCGTGAACTGAGTCCTGTCCTGGAGATTCATGTCAGCTCTTGCCTCCACCAGGAAGCGAGCAACTTCCAGGTGACTGTTGGCCGCCGCAAGATGAAGAGCCGTCAGTCCCTTCTTGTCTTGGATGTTCATCTTCGCCCCTGCGTGCAACAGCACCCGAACAACTCCAACACGGTTCTTTCGCGCCGCATGATGCAGAGCCGTCTTGCGATCCCGGTCCTGGATGTTCCGGTCGACCCCTGCCTCTACGAGCCATTGAACCACTTCCACGCGCCCCTCGATAGCCGCATCATGAAGAGCTGTCCGCCCCTCTTCATCTTGGGCGTTCGCGTCAGCCCCTGCCTCCTTCAGCAAGCTAGCTGCTTCCACGTTGCTGCTTTGCGCCGCTTGATGAAAAGCTGTCACTTGCCCTCTGTCCCGGGTGTTGATGTCGGCCCTTGCCTCCACCAGCAAGCAAGTCACTTCCATGTGGTCGGCTCGCGCCGCTAGGTGAAGGGCCGTCTGCCCACTTCCGTCCTGAAGGTTCATGTCAGCATTTGCCTCCTTGAGGCAGCAAACCACCGCAACACAGTTGATTCGCGTCGCTAGATGCAAAGCTGTTTGCCCACTTTTGTCCTGGATATTTATGTCAGCACGCGCATCCAGGAGCCAGCGGGCTACTTCCAAGCGCCCTCTGGCTGCCGCATCATGAAGAGCTGTTCGCCCCTCTTCATCTTCGTTGCGGTCAGCCCCTGCCTCCTTGAGCAAGCAAGTCGCTTCCACGTTGTTGCTTTGCGCTTGAGTAGAAGCTCTGTCTTGGCTGTTGATGTCAGCCCTTGCCGCCACCAGCAAGCGAGCCACGTCCATGGAGTCACTTTGCAGTGCTCGACGGAGCGCTGTCACATGTTTGTTATCCTCGATGTTCATGTCAGCCCTGGCCTCCACGAGCAAGCGAGCAGCTTCTACGGCGTTATTTCTTACCGCCAGGTGAAGGGCTGTTTGCCCACGTCCGTCCTGCACATTCATGCCAGCTTTTGCCTGCACGAGCCAGCGAATCATTTCCGCGGCATTGACTCGCGCCTTTGGATCCGCCGCTAGATGCAAAGGTGTCTTCCCACTTGAATCTTTGACGTTGAGGTCAACCTTGGCCTCCACAAACAAGCGAACCAGTTCGATGCGGCTTCTCGTCAGCGCACACTGTATCGGCGTGACTCCTTCCTCATCCTGTGCGTTTATGTCAGCATATGCCTGCAGGAGCAGTTCGGCAACTGTCACAGCTGCCACACGACATCGAATATAACATGCTAGCATCAGCTGAGGACTGGAAACAAAACGACGGCACTTGGACGAGGGTCGCTTCACAAATGCTGAGGGGTCCCAGCCTCTCGGTAACCAGTACCGAAGTTCATCCGCGTTGCCACGCAACACCGAGTTTGTCAACTGCTGCTGAGCCTGGGGGGAGACCTCAGGAAAGGGCAGCACGATGAGCTGTAAATCGATATCTGGCTGCAAGACGAGATCCTCGAACGCATTGCCGTTGTGCAGAAGCCTCTGCCGGAATCGTGGGACGCCGGTCGTCTTGCACAGGTGCCGCTTCAACATGTTGACGTCGGCCATGTCCTCTGCAGGAAGAGTCGCCACCTCCTGCCCTGACACAGCGCTGAGAACCCGAAGCATGGTTTGCTGCGGCGCCGAGGAAAGGTGATGTGCGTCGGTGCTAGTGGGGTGACATCTTCGACGAAAACTCTTACCCCTACATCCTTCTTGTTCTTGTTCTTGTTCTTGTTGTTGTTGTTGTTGTTGTTGTTGTTGTTGCTGTTGTTGTTGCGGAAGCCCCCAGCTGAATATCACATCGCCCGGGCGGCAGTCTAATGCGGGAAGAAAGCTTGTGAGCCCACAGGAACGCCGTGTGAAGTTAAGCTCCCAAGCAAAAGCCCTAGACCTAAACCCTAAATATAACCCCAGCCCTATATCCAAACTCGAAACCATCAGCAATGGATTGGGCAGCGTGGCGTTTGGAGCAAGGCCCGAAGGTTTAGGGTTTAGGGCTTAGGGTTTAGGATTCAGGATTTAGGGTTAGGGTTCAGGGTCTGGACCTTACGGTTGAGAATTAGGGGTTTGGGCTTTGGGTTTAGGGTCAAGGTCTAGCATTCAAGAGGTGTGGGCCTGGTGCCTCTTCATCATACTAAGGCCCATCTCTGCAACACTGAGGGCTCAGGAACTAGGGTTGAAGGGTCTAGGGGTTTAGGTTTAAACTATGGCGCTTAAGCTGTAGGTGAATGATTCAAGGGGGACTGGGGGGGTTTAGGGATTGATGAGGTGTTGCAGGGTTGAGGCTTGTAGGGTTGAGGGTGTTGGGGTTTTGGGGTTTAAGGGCTTCAGGGCTTAAGGGTTGAGGGTTTTGGGTTTTGGGTTTTGGGGTTTAGGGGTCTCTCAGTTCCTTGCTTTAACGGTAGCTTGCCTTTGAACTCGGGTTAGGATAACAACCTGTACTGCTACTATTGTTATTACTACGACTACGACTACGACTACGACTACGACTACGACTACGACTACGACTACTACTACTACGACTACTACTACTACTACTACTACTACTACTACTACTACTACTACTACTACTACTACTACTCTACTACTACTACTACTACTACTACTACTACTACTACTACTACTACTACTACTACTACTACTACTACTACTACTACTACTACTACTACTACTATACTACTACTACTACTACTACTACTACTACTACTACTACTACTACTACTACTACTACTACGGTGCAACCCTATGGTTTGCCCGCGCTTGTTTTTGGAAGGTACATAAAACATGCGCAGGCGCAGCGTTTCTGGCCTTTGCCGGCCTTTCAACAGTGTTCTTTTTTTCGTTTTTTTCTTCATAAACGACGACCCTCTGCGGGTTTCCCTGCGTTCCGGACTTCGCAGAACCCTATGGTTTGCCCGCGCGCGCGCGTCTTACGGTTTAGGCTTTGGAGTGTTTCAGGCACGAGTCCAGCACGAGGGCTTCGGTGTTTTGTCGTCCTGGGCTTCAAGGAAATAACACTGCTTTCGGGCGTGGGTTCAGGGTTGAGGCGTAAGACAGTTTACGGTTTGCCCGCGTCTTCTGCTTGTGGGCAACGAACAGCCAAAGCCTAAACCTTAAACTCCAGAAGTTCTTGGTCCTATTTCATAGCTCAGGATTTCGCAGACGACTCGTCTTGTGGCCACTACACTACTGACGCAGTCCCGTGCTTGTTGGGTCGCGCGGCCACAGGTCCGCGGTCTGCAGAGGCGGACACGGCCCTGGCATACGGGAAGCGGGGCGCAGACGCTGGCCACCTGCTTCGGAGGCAGAAAGAAAGCCTCCTCAGCGAGCTGCCCAGCGTCTGCGCCCCGCTTCCCGTATGCCAGGGCCGTGTCCGTCTCTGCAGACCGCGGACCTGTGGCCGCGCGACCCAACAAGCACGGGACTGCGTCAGTAGTGTAGTGGCCACAAGACGAGTCGTCTGCAAAATCCTGAGCTATTAAATAGGACCAAGACCTTCTGGAGTTTAACGTTTAGGCTTTGGGCTGTTGGGTGCCACATGGTTCATGCTGACATGCTGCGGCAAGAGCTGACTCAAGCATGCTTGTCCAAACCCATGCTTGACCACCCTGTGTGTGGGCAAACCACCCGGTTGGGGCGTACTACTACTACTACTACTACTACTACTACTACTACTACTACTACTACTACTACTACTACTACTACTACTACTACTACTACTACTACTACTACTACTACTACTACTACTACTACTACTACTACTACTACTACTACTACTACTACTACTACTACTACTACTACTACTACTACTACTACGGCGACGGCGACGGCGACGGCGACGGCGACGGCGACGGCGACGGCTGCGGAGCAGGGCTTTCATCGTCTGAGCTGGGTTCTGGTGTTCTGCAAAGGCCCTTTCCAATGCCAGATCTGGCACTGGAGACAGCTTTTAATGCAGAATCAGAGCAGCCTGCATTTTCTGTACAGTGGGCTGATGTACCATGTCCTCAAACCGCAATAAACTGGGATCGATTGGCTGGAACACACCGGTCTGGAAATGTCAGCAGCTTCTGTGAATGGTCACCGCCTGGAGTGCTTCGAGACACTTCTTCGGAAATCTCTGCAATCTTGCCTGTGCAATGAGGGTGCTGCCGCTGCTCGGAAAGCCAAAGCTGAGCACACTCCGGGCCTTGGGGCTTTCTGGAGATCACAACAGAGGTGCCGCAATATACATCACGGCGCCCCCAGAATTTACGTTGAGGTCTTATGAGTCTTATGTTGGGCTCAGACTTCACGTCCACAACAACTGAGCTCCGGGCTTGAGTAGCATGTCTTGTCGGAGCCGGCATCCACAAGCTTGAAGTCGTTGTAGCAGGATTGATTCTCGAGGTGCAATCTTGCACGCTGCTCTTGGCAATAGAAATCCTGTCCTGGTTCTTTCAGGCAGTAGGTGCCGCCCACCATGGACATCTGGCGCTGTAGAGAGGGGACAATCATGTCCGCGCACTCCTTGGTTCGGGAATCTGGAGCCCCTCTGAGTTCGCTACACGGCCAACAGCAGATAGCCTCAGGTCCGTAGTCCCACATTTTGAATATTGCAGCTTTTGCTTACTATCCTGAACTTAAAGCAACATGGTTCACAAAAATGCCAATAAGGGTAGTTTCTTGCATGAGGGCCTACTTTCGGGTCCTTGTTAGAAGAGTGATGTGCTGTTGCAATGCAAAAGTGCACCTAATTTGCGCAACTACTGGTGGTTTTCGTCACGTCGTCATCCGTCGTCATCACCGTTCATAATGTGAACAGTACCCTAAACCACAAGCTCCTCGACCCGAACACCCCAACGCCAAAACCCCTGACCCTGAACCCTCAAACCTAAAACCTAAAACCTAAACTTCTGTGTAATGAAGGGGATATTGCTGTATAAGCGTGGGTGTTTTGTGTCAAGCCTTGCCCTGCTGTTGCAATACAAAAAATCTTGATGTGAAGCCCCACCCACCCACCGGGGTACTTCGAATTGATGGTGATCCTCATTCATGCCGCATCTTGAGATGCGAATCTCTACCTCGCAGTGGCCCCAGTTTAAAAATGCTGTGTACGTCACTTGGCTTCGGCAGGTGTGGTGGGGCCTCGTTGAAGCAATATTTCGAGCAGAGTTTTGTGGTTCATATACCAGGCTATATATGTATACCAGGGAACCCAAAGGAATAATACTGCAAATCATGCAGGCCGCCATAAATACTATATCAAGCCCAGTAAAGCCTTTACAAAACCCTAGTCTGCCCCAACAACATCCGTACATGCCCCCATGAGAACCCCCAAAAAAAACTTTTAAAAACATGAACACCCCCCAAAAAACCCTTAAAAAACCCGCGAAGCTCCACAATAAAATCCCTGACAAAACACCTCCTTAGAAGGACAATATAAGGATCAGTGTTTTTGGAGGGGTTCTTAAGCAAATTGTAGCCGAGAATCTTCGGGCCCGACGGGCAAGACGCCCAAACCAGCCGCCATGCAGAGGGTGTGAGCGTAGCCTGGGCTTGCGCCAGGTCTAGGGTTGGGGTTCAGGGGTTTAAGGGGTTTAAGGGGTTTAAGGGGTTGAAGGGGTTCAAGGGGTTGAAGGGGTTTAAGGGGGTTTAGGGTTTAGGGTTTAGGGTTTAGGGTCTAGGGTTTAGGGTTTAGGGTTTAGGGATTAGGGTGTAGGGATAGGGTTTAGGGTTTAGGGTTTAGGGTTTAGGGTTTAGGGTTTAGGGTTTAGGGTTTAGGGCTAGGGGGGGGCTTAAGATTTGGCGTTGCAGGGGTTTAGGGGTTTAGGGGGTCAGGGCAGGTTATCGGATCGGCGAAAAGAATTTTGCACCTCCAGTTTGATATGACGCAGGGTTTATAGGCAGCCTACATAATCCCGTAAAAGGCGCATATAGGGAGATATAGGCCATTCCCTCGTTCCCTACCAAGAAACAGCCAGTTTTGTAGACATATGAAGTAGGGTGCATATTCCTGGTATCCACAAAAGAACACCCAATATATACACTCACCCATGTTAAAAAGGAACCTTATACACTCACCAAGAACAGTAATATAAACCCCGCATCATGTGGGGCTTAGGGATGGGGCATAGATATGGGGCTACTAAACCCAAAACCCAAAACCCAAAACCTAAAACCCTAAACCCTAAACCCTAAACCCTAAACCCTAAACCCTAAACCTAACCAACAAGATCAAGGTTTACAAATTCAGCTTCCAAGTCGCAGGTGGCATAAGACGTGAAGAAGTGCCCGTAGTCGAACCCATCACCTGTAGTTTAGGGTGTAGGGTTTAGGGTTTAGGGCTTAGGGTTTGGGGTTTGGGGAATAGGGGTTAGGGTTTAGGATTTGGGGGTAGGGTTTAGGCTTTAGGGTTTAGAGTTTAGGGTTAGGGTTTAGGGTTTAGGGTTCAGGGTTTAGGGTTTAGGGTTTAGGGTTTAGGGGTGACTCAATGTCACTCATGGGCGTCATCAGTTCTATCCTTTGAGGCTAGATTCGACTTCCCCTTGGCCCTAGACCTCAAGCGTGCCACCCTCCAAAACCCT